CTTCTTCTTCGGGGAGGGGAAAACAGGAAGGCAAGAAAGGACTTGTGTAAGGTAAATGATTTATAACAACATTAGAAAATAACACAAAATCATGAGCTGGAAATCCTAACAGCAATAAAACTAACACAGCCCAGCAAACTCTACTTCTAGAGATTATAATATTAAGAAAAAAATAAAATAAGAGGCTAAGGCTCAGTTCCTTTAACTGGCAGCAACAAAAGAAAAAAATAAATTATAACGAAGAGGAACAGACCAACGTGTCCAACAGGATATTAAAAGAAATGGAGATGTTGGATGGTTTAACTAAAGGACTCAGGGTTATCACCAAAGAACATAAAGAGGTTACCCTCTAAATAATGACACAGCAACTCAACCACAAAGACTCACACTCAAACAGTAGCAACTGTAGCCTTTTTAATATAAGTAATTACTGAACCTAAAGAGAGACTATTAAAAGCAAAGTTATTAATTTTCCAAGATGTTCAAACATCTAAACTCTGAAGCCAGCCCGAATGGTGTCTACTTAGAAACAAGTAGCTCCCAGAGAGAAAGAGCATCCAGCCTTTTATCCTTCAAGATCCAGGGTAAAGGATTAGTCCAATTGCTTCCACTTGGAGAACCTTGGAGGGATCCACTGGTGATGAGGCTGCCGGGACTCATTGTGGTTTCCATGGATACTGGCCAACAGTATGAAGGCAGCCATCTGTATCAGGGTCTGGTGTTGTCACTCCAAAAGAAAACAAAAAAAAAATGGGCAGAAAAATACAAAACAGGGGGCAAACACTGAATAAACAGTTATAATAGTACGACCAACATTGGTAAAACCCAGGGGTCGTAACACTATATAATGGAGTTCCTCAGGGCTGAGTCCTCAGACTGCTATTATTATAAATGTGTCTTTTTGTCTCCATGTAGTGAAAAACTCTTCATGATGATATTTGTTAACATAGCGTTGACGCTGTGTTTTCCTGTAAAAGTTTAACAGCTTTATGCAGACATTGATCTGTTACGTCTTTAATATTTAACCATAAAATGAGTTTGTTTCCAGCTCAGCGGTTTCATCAGTTGAAACCACATT